CTAATATCGCATTGCGTTGCATTTTCGACTTAATATATAAGCTCTATAAAGTTAATATTAAATTTCTACACTTTAATATAATACATAATTACAATATCAACAAAACTAGGCAATCAGATAACCTGTTCCTATCACGTAATTGGCTGGTTTCCTGACATTGAAATCATGTAATCGCACATTGCTAAAATTTCAATACATCGAAATGTTACACAATGATGATTATTCACTCTAATGTAACATTTAATGTTACCCAAACAGTATTGCATATTGCGATATAGGGCTATCGCGTTACGTTACATTTTCGATATAGAGTGATTCTGAAATTTCAAGTCATCGAATTATTTATGGGATATTTTATTTTTTGAATGACATCAAATGACGAGAGTAAGTCATGCGACACGCCTGTCTATAACAGTTGTAGTTAGAGATCCGAGGGTCACTGCCACTACGCCCGTCACCGTGAGACACCTGACAAATCCCATGTACCTACCTGTAACTTCATAAACACCCTTACTGCTTGGCGGTAGAAATAAGAAAGGCAACGGGTTAAAACCCAATCAGCCCGCCGGGTTTTAACCCAAAACGACGAGTTTTAATGTACTTATGCCCAAAATCGTGAGCAGAAACGGCGAATACAATATTTGGTATAATTCCATATTATTTAGAAATTTTGATGTAAAAAATCTATTATAGACGAAAAGTGGCATCAATACAATATCCACCTTTCAATCCTGTGGATTCACATTACTGAGGGCGCGTGTCCACGCTAAGAAAAGTCGCACCATTTGTACACACGAACTGTGTACACTGCCTCGGCGCCGGACAAGAAAAAAATCTAGTCTAGCCCCCACACGACGCGCTCTGACGCTATTTTGTGGGGCGGGATGAGGTGCATTGTCAGTAAAAGAACGTTTATGCGCGTGGACGAGTGTTGTTTAGTACTCAAGAATTACAAAAACATATTTCTTCCCACAGTCGGTAATAAAACGACAGCTACCTGGATGACTCGTAATGCACTGACACATTTTACCCTACACACGTCTGCCCGAAAGCATTCGTATCGTGTTTCTTTTCGTGGTTAGATCCGACAAAGTTCTTGTCGTGTACAAGACCATTCTCATCTTTTTTGTAGCAAACACGTCAAATTTCGGTTTTTACGAAAATCAATACACGCACGTATATACGACCTAAAGATTTTTGGTATCAATTTATTTCAATACGATTGTCAAGCGAATCAATTCAATAAAAAGGCAAATCGAATCATATAGATCAGAAAGCAATAAAAATTTTATAACAATCTCATTAAATTTCAACACACACTACGTTTTTAACCCGATTTAAACCTGGAGTTTACAAAGCGCCGGGTAATATCCGGGCGCTTGTCCATCTCTAATGGTAGCAATACCAGACACGTAATGAGGTGCATCTTAATATAAAATAACCGTTTATTATGAAAACAATTGCCTCGTGCCAAGAAGTTGTATAACAGAGTATTCAAAGATCTTTGTGTTAAGTTTAAAATACACAATTGTAATATACATATTGCATAGCAACATGTAATTAGGAAATTTTAGTTTAACTATAATTATTAATTCAAAGATTGAACACTAAGCAAAATTTGAACCAGCTCCTTCAGTCTGACGCTCTCTCAACTGAGCTACAGAACGAACCAGCAGACCTTATGATCTTTCAATGTGGTTCTTGCACATATTTAGTTTAATTGGTCGTCAAAACCTCAACCTTTTCTGAAAACAAAACCCCTGTTGCAATTTAAGTTTATTGACTATTAATCTCCTGGTCTCAAACTAGAGACTTCCCTGTACTTTGAGTATTAGAGTTACGAAATTAACTTTCTATACTATGCAGAACACATTCTAACCAGAACATTTAAGGTGGTGGCGCCAGTGACCGACAAGCACATGGTGTTCTAGAATAGCCAATCTCAAAATCAACAAATTTATCAGGTACTTTTTTTATTTATTATTTCACTTTTAAATTTACAATTTACAAATTGCATAAACCTGTACAGATTTCTAGCACATTATGCAGTCGTCATCTACACAATATAAAATCTTGAAAACATTAAATATTATTACAACACGCCAACAGTGTTTTATAAAAAACAGAGAGATGATTTAGAAACAACTGAAGAATATCTATGGTCAACGAATCATAATACATATATACCGGTCCATGTCGTCACGATAAAATTTAGCACATTCTGAATGCAGCGGTTTTATAAGATTATAATAATCATTTTTTATTATTATTATTATTATTTGTTTATAGAATCATAATATTTATTTGTATATTGACCACGTAATGAATATAATTAGTGGTGTCAGACATACTAATAGCTAAGAACTTTATAAATTGTATATATATAATTCTTATACTCTTATTTAGTTCGTATGCCAAGATTTGTAAATTATTCCAGCGTGCCTTTTATGTCACGTCACAGCTCGAAAAATCGCAATGAATATCAGCATTGGTGAATGCGGATGCTGTTGCGAATGCTGATATTCGCAACAACCCGACGTTACATTTAATTGAAGTCAAAAGACGAGTGAAACCATTCTTTTTTCAAATTAAACGTTCTGGTGTATGTGGACAATGGTTGATAAGACGATTGCAGTCATTCTTTTTTTAAATCAAACGTTCTGGCATCAGTGGTCAATGGTTAATAAAAATCAATGGCCAATGGTTTAGACGAAGATTGCAGTCATTCTTTTTTCAAAATAAACATTCTGGTATCAGTGGCCAATGGTTTACAAAATCAGTGGCCAATTGTTTAAAAGACGATTGTAGTCATTCTTTTTTCAAATCAAACGTTCTGGTATCAGAGGCCAATGGTTTATAAAAATCAGTGGCCAATGGTATATAAGACGATTGCTGTCATTCTTTTTTCAAAATAAACATTCTGGCTTAGAATAATAACGCATAGAAACCTAGCCCGCACACGCTAAGTGAGGCAAGTTAGAGGGTTCCAAACGCGTCCCAGGAGCGCGCGGGCTGTTAGTGCTCAAGGTCATATTGCACCGCGAACAGCTCCAAAATTTTTTGCTAAAAATGACGAAATGTGCGGTAAATGGGTGTAAAAATACAACAGACAAACATAAAATAGACACTAACATCGCATTCCACAAGTAAGTAATGCGTTTCAACTCATATTTTTATGTAAATATTCACTAAAACAGAAAAATAATTTCGCGGCAACAAGATACGAAAGTGTTGCAAAGTAACGAATTTTTTTTCTCCCCATTTTGCTATTCTGTATCAAAATAATTATATTACGTAAATTTTAGTGGTGCCTGTAATTTAGATTTATTTGCGCATCTTGAACTAATATTTACTTGAATAAACATTAAATGTTTTCGTTAACTCCAGTAAGTGATTGGGACACTTAATTATTTTATAATACTTTTAACGGCTCTGCGTTCATGCTTTATTGAATAATTATTTATTTTAATTTTATTTGAATTGGAGCACATATTGCAACAAATTTACTTATATATTTGTTTCTACTATAGTGTTGGCACCACCAGTACAACTTTGATAGCTTATTATATGTCTTTCTTTTCGTAACTCAAGCGAAATATGAAATATTTTATATTAAAATATTTTATTTTCTTAAAAGGGGAGCATTCTTAAGCGATTTTTTAATCTATTTTAACAGTTATTTTCTTTAATGTGTGCTTTTGGCATTTTCGGTTTTAGGTTTCGAATACGGCACTTACTTCTAAATCCAAGATGCGGGCGCGATTTTTCGAATAATGGCAAGTTGGGTATCGTTTTCGAGATGTTTGGGAATGTTCAATACAAATATGGCACTCATTTCTAAATCCAAGATGGCAAACACGACAGTTCAAACAAAAGCAATATTCGTAATGAGCACCCCCAAATACCTCGAAAACGATACCCAACTTGCCATTATTTGAAAAATCGTGCCCGCCATCTTGGATTTACAAATAGTGCCATATTCACATTGAGCATCCCCAAATACCTCGAAAATGATACCCACATAGCATTTTTTGGAAAAATCGTGCCCGCCATCTTGGATTTAGAAATGAGTGCCACATTCGTAATGAGCACCCCCAAGTACCTCGAAAATGATACCCATATTGCATTTTTTTGAAAAATCGTGCCCGCCATCTTGGATGTAGAAATGAGTGCCATATTCGTCATGAGCATCCCCAAGTACCTCGAAAATGATACCCATATTGCATTTATTTCAAAACTCGTGTCCGCCATCTTGGATTTAGAAATGAGTGCCATATTCGTAATGAGCATCCCCAAATACCTCGAAAAGGATACCCATATAGCATATTTTGAAAAATCGTGTCCGCCATCTTGGATTTACAAATAAGTGCTATATTCGTTTTTCATCGACAAAACCGAGCACATCTGTAGGCACCTGATCGACAATGTCGGGCAAATCTGTAGGCACCTTTAACTTAATGATGAGTTAAGCAAGATACAATTTCCCCACTTTTGAGGGAAATGTTATTCCATGGCATCATTATTTGTATATTTGTGTGCGTGCCGACGAGCGTAGTTACAAGTTGCTTACGCCTACATGAATTTGGTTTTTGCCTCACTTGTGACAGTTCGTTTGATATGAAACTATCATTCTATGCGTTATTATTCTAAGCATTCTGGTATCAGTGGCCAATGGTTTATAAGACGATTGCAGGCATTCTTTTTTCAAATTAAACCTTCTGGTATATGTGGCCAGTGGTCCACGTGAACAATATTGTCGTAATACAAATTTTAGAGTTCCTCTAAAAATGTCCTTGTGCGTATTAAAATACAGAACAGTATATGAAATAATTGCGGAATTTAAATGGCAGGTTTTCCTTCAATATTACGTAAGTATAATTCTACCTGTTTCGATCTCTGTTACTTGCTCTCTTACCTGATGTTAGGTTAAACCATCACCTTACATAACATTAATATAAACAATAATAAAAATGCTTATTATGTGATAAATGTCCACTTACCGAGATGCGAGAGGTTGGTGAGATCTGACTCTGTAAACAAATAAAAAATGCGTGTGAATAAAATGACAATGAATGCCGTGCAAACACAATTAAAATAAATACGTTTATTATACTAAGGCCATAGCAGGAACTCCGACAGTTGCTTTCAAAATTTTTTTTCAATAATTCTTCAAAAAAATCTTCATTAAGACAACTAAGATGCTTTACGGGTCGATTTGGCCATAGTATTGTTAACAAACAAAAATAAGAAAAGCCTCTTTAACGTTATTTAAAAATGATATGACATGCTTGTATGAGGAAACACCTGATAATGATAAAACAATTACACGTATGAATAATAAAAGTGTTACAAGTCACTGGGTTTGAAATATATTATTACATTGCCATATGTTTTAAGTATTTTAATTATTTATTTTGTTTTTAGGTTATTTCATTTATAAGTATTAGTTTTTTTTAATAGTATCAAGTTACGAATTAAACAAGTGGTGCGTCGTTACGATTGACATGGTCGTGTCGCGATTAATTAAGGCATGATTAAGATAGTGAATAATATAGAATAAAATAGTATTCATTTATTACAACGCCACAATATAAAAATATACATAATATAAAGAAATTAAAAAAATAAAGCAAAGTTCGTTCCGTGGCTTAGTTGGTATAGCGTCTTGCACGGTAAGCTAGAAGACGTCGGTTCGAATCCGACCGGATTTGTATTAATAATTATAACAAACTAGTAATTTAATTTTTTTTTAGAATACGAAGTGACGGGACGAACAAGTGGTGCACCTGGTGCTAAGAGACACGCCTATCCATAACAGTTGTAGTGCTATTCAGAGCTTTAAATCGCAAAGATCTGAGGGGGATCTGTGTCTACACTTGTCACCCTGAGATATAAGTTGGTAAGTCCCATATGCCTGTAGTTTCACGAGCACCCTTACATTTCAAAACCGATGCGCAGTGATGCATTACTGAGATGGAACATGTCAAATCTATAAAGGTGAACCTTAGTATAATTTGCACGCAATTTCCTTATGGTATTCAAATGCTTAAGGAGATCGTGTTGACAATTTTTTTTTGTTGTGTTGAGTATTTCCGGTCACGTCTCTAGAACCGGAATTTCCAGTATGTTTTTTTAATGTAAGAGTTCAATGATTTCGTTTTACAAATGATGATGCAGAAACAGATAGTGCAAAACTTAATTTGTACTTTTCAAGCCATTTTATTCTGGATTGTTCCTAACGTAATAAATAAATAATAATAATAATAAATAAATAACGCACACACTCAACATAACCCCGCACTAGGGAAACCCTGTGTCGCGGGTGCCATGGACACACACATAGACAACCACAAATTACACCCAAACTCACGAGAGAAATAATTGTAGGTCATACAACTATTTCTCTCGGCCCGGGAATCGAACCTGGGACCTCTGCGTGGCAGTCCGACATGGTAACCGTTCGGCCACGGAGGCAGTTATTAATAATTGTATTAACAATATTCGGAATTTGTGGTTAAACTATTAACTAAAATTTTTAGGTAAATGCATTGACTTACAAATAAATGGACGACGGGTCTAATACAAAAACCACGAAAAAAATGTCCCAAGTCAACCTATTTAAACGTAGTGACATGTCAAGGAATATGAAAAAGCTAAAACGTTGAATTTAAATTGTAGTGTCATCGCAGTACTATCTAATTTTTGCTTGCTTCGCTGTCAGTTGAACAAAAGCGTGAATGACGCTCTGTATACGTTTTTAACGCCCTATAAGTTCGGACACTTTTTAGCGCGGACCCGACGTCCATATAATTATAAATCAATGGGTAAATGACAAAACTAAATCTTAAAATATGTCATATTGGCACCTAAGTAAAATATGTCATACAACTCTGGTGTCATGTGTATTTTTTGAATCCGATTTTGTTTATGATACCTTGAGATGGGACAAAGAAGTCACGCGCCTGGTGGTAAGCAACACACCTGTCCATATCAGTTGCAGTGCCAATAATCTCAGTACAGAGTACTAAAAAAATCGACCTCAAAAGTACGTGGAATTACGTCTATTTGCTAAGTTTTATTGAAATATCCCCTAGTTCGCAACTATACAGGACTTGACACTAGAGATAATATAAATCGGTTCTCACTACTCAAAGTATATTGAGAGAAAAACGCCTTGAATTGGCGAAATAGAAAAATCAACCATTAAAGTAAGTGCTCCTAAATTAATGTTAGGCGCTATTTATGAAAATGAATCTTCATGCGTGAACAGCCACCCCTCGAGGTGGATGATTTTCTTCAAAAGGAAATGGGACCACTATGAAAGTACCCCCTTTCCAACAAAAAAAAAGAATCATAAAAATCGGTTCACAAATACTGGAGTTATCGCGTAACATACATACAAAAAAAAAAGAACATACAGTCGAATTGAGAACCTCCTTTTTTGAAGTCGGTTAAAAATAGCTTCATTCCCTAGATCTCGGATATAATTTTTTACGAAACTTTGTTTTCAATAGTTTTGTTTACGAAACTTCCGAATTATTTCATTGTGTTCATTCTTAAGAAAACAAAATCGACTGTCGACTGCATTTGAAAGTGTATGATTTGGTGGCCGCTATAATAATACTTTGAACTTCATATATAGAAGCTTTTAGGAGGAACTGGAATTCCTCTTCATTCATAAACATGTTTATTCTGAAGGTGTTTGACATTGTTTTTCTCTAATTGCGCACGTCAGACTCATTGCTTATTATTGTTTTTGTATTGATTATGTTATATGTATATGTTATATAGACATCTGTTTTATTGTTTTACGTCATTACTACTAACTAATTTCCTCAGTAACACAAACGTGCCATTTATTGTCATGTATCGTTTACATTGCAACAAATAGGTTTCTTAAACTTGGTTACAGTGTTATTGTAATATAACATTTTTATTATTATGAAGTGTGGCGGAGACGTACAAGTCGTGTGTCTGGTAGTATGCGGCAAGCATGGCCATAACCTCGTAAGGCCCCGTGTACATCAAAATGTATACAATGTGGGAAGTGATTTAGACTCAGACAATAATATTGTGACCACGTAAACGCCCAGTTTACATTACAATGAAAATGTCGCATTCAAATTTATCGCTATATAGGGTTAATTGTATTATACTAACAATCTTGCAGGATCATATTTATTAATAACACCATAAACAACTATTTTTCACGTTTTTTACGTACAAAATTCTGTGTAAGCGCGGTAAATTCAAAATTACGAACGAGACTCTATTAGAAGCCCGAAGTCGAAGACTGAGGGTTTTCGGAGTCGAGATTCGTACTTCTCGTACAGCCAGTGACACATACAAAGTTTTTCATCACACTAGCACGTAAATAGTATGCTTGCATGCAGGCTAACTTGACTGTAATGCCCAAATAATGCCTTTTTTCTTCTCATTACAGCCATGGTTGGTAATGAGAAGAAGTTTTATGCGTTCCGGTTTTGAATGGTAAGGTTGCTGGTGAAATTAGACACATGGGACTTATCAACTTTCGTCTCAGGGTGACACAATGGCAGTGTCACTCAGATCTTTTCAAATTCATTTATTCTCAGACCGATTGTCCATATTTGTTAGTAACAATCATATGAGCTAAGTTATTAGAATCATCTTTGATGGCTTTTGTATCATATAAAAGGTAATCAAGCGTCTCAAGTATCCGATTATCGGACAACTATTCCATTTTAGTGCAATTTCAGGATCTATGTATAAATTGTTCTGTTTCATATTCGCCAAGTTGACACTTCCAGTAAGCCTCACCAAATCCTTATCACTACGTATATATTTCGGACTACGTCAGTAAACAATTAACGCGTGATGTCCATTACGCGTACTAGCCTACAACAAACAATTTAGATTAATCCGCTGGGGGCAGCATATCTATTTATAAATGCCCTGACCGTGTGATAAGTGGAATTCTCCCAGGCGTTGTCATTTGTACTGATCTTTAACATTAACGTTGTTTATTGCAACAGAAACAATTATTTAAACCACTAAACAGAATTAATACTAAGTGTAATAAATGGTCTAAGGCCTTGTTTTTGTACAATATTTAATCCTCTAATAAAGCTGAATTAGACAAACATATTAGTGAGTTTTTCTTTGACATTTTAAAGCGTAAATAGATCTTTTAATAATTCGAGAACTCCTTGTCAAAACCTTCGCCCAGGAAAATACTGCCACCTCAAGAATGTCAAGTAGCAGTGTGAGCATTACTGTAGGTTACCTATCCGTAGTCCGAAATGACATTTTCCAGAAATTACGTTTGGTCGAAACTTCATAACCTCGAAAGTAATTTTGAGAGGAAAATGTTTTTTCTTTTAAACTTAACCTAACCGAACCTAATCCTGTCTTTGCGATGAAAATTCAACATATCCTGAAAAAACAACTGTTTCCTTATAATTTGGTTTTCGGTGTAATGAAAATTCGAACAAACGTAATTTCGGATAAAAAAATTTCGACTTTGTGATAGGTTACCATTACGGTTTCCCGGTTTTGAAGGGTAAAGGTGCTGGTGAAATTACAGGCACACGCGACTTGTCAACTTATGTCTCAGGGTGGCGGGCCCAGTGACAGTTCCCCTTATATATATATCATGGATAAGTGTATCATCACAATATCATCGACGACTGTATCGCATAATTTTCACAAAACTAAAAAGACAAACTTATAACAGTTACACAACGTGTTCACATAAACGTTCAATGGCCCATTCATAAAACATACCGACTATGAATCCGCGGGGGGTTACGCAATATCACCACATTTCCAATAATAACTTGACCGGTTATTATCAAGTGGAACTCTCCCAGAACCTCTTCCTTGATCTTGCGCTTATAAGATAAGACAATTGAAATGTATCACTCAATTGCGTCATTTGTTGTTGTTTTTCTTAACCCCCGGCGTGTTTGTTACGTTTTCAGTAATAATAATCTGTTCCCCTTAACGATCGCTTCGGTTTATGTGTACTTACAGATATATTATATTCGCG